TTTCCTTTCATATAAAAAAGAATAATAGTAACTGAAAGTAAATAAATAAATCAATAAGCAAATAAAATCACAAAATGCACAAAGCAGAGTGACAGTGCTACAGCGTAATCTATGAATTAAATCAAAGTACCTCAGGCCTCGGTGCCTCAATAGCTATGCGAGGGTTCACCTAGTGTTCATTACATAATCCTTGAATCTGAAGGGCAGCTTCTGGTTCCTAGATGACCTCCGCAGCACGATTTCCGGTGTTGCGTCGTGTTCAGGATTTATGTTCTCGGGCTGCTCCACCTGTTCTGCTCCACCTCTGTTTGAACTAAAAGGGTCATCCACTTGCTCAGATGTGTCTGATACTGCATCAGTATCGAGTGATAATGATTCACTATAACCGCGCACTGGATCAGTGGATGCTTTTCTAAGTTGTACGTGGTTCCGATGAACAAGCCCCAATGGAATGCTTACAGTGCATGATCTTGGCGCAGGCTTGTTAACGACCTCACCATATATCCAGGGTTTGCTTCTATTCCTCGGGCTCGGCTTCACGAAGACTCTCTCGCCGATTGTGAATTCACTGAGCTGCTTTGATGCTCGTTTGTCACAGTGGGCCTTGGCCCTTTGTTTCCTTTCCGCAAAGTTCTGGGTCACTATGCTCAGCACTGTTAGTTGCGGTTGGAGTTTGCTTGTAGCCATGGGAATCAAGTCCTGGAGTCTTCTATTAATCTCTGTGCCCGAGAGTAAGCATGACCCTGCTGAGGTGTGTTGCGATATGCCAGCAAAGCAATATAGGGGTCTTCTTCCTGTGATTTCTGTAAAATGTTCCTTGCAATTTTCACTGCAGACTCTGCTTTCCTGTTGCCACAGCTATGGTAGGGTGAGGACTTGACCATGGCAAATCCATAGTCGCATGCAAATCGTGATAACTCATGACAGTCGAATTGTGGGCCATTATCACTGATGCAAGTGTCGGGTATTCCATGGCACGCAGAGTTTCTTTACATAGCTCTGATTACAGTACTTGCTGCAACGTTTCTGAGTGGCTCAAGTTCAAAATAATTGCTATTGTGATCTACCACCACGAGGTATTGCTTTCTATCCAGTACGAACTAGTCAACACTTACCTTTGACCAGGGACGTGCGGGTATTTCGTGTGAAAGCATGGGCTCTGTTGGTCTCTCAGCGTGGTACTGGCTGCAAATTCCACACAACGAGCAGGTTTCTCAGAGAATTACAGTCAAGTCGCCGATGGTTCAACTCGCCAACGCCAATTCATCGACGTAGAAAATCGAGTAGAGACGTCGGCGAGTTGGTCCTCAATCCAGTACAACATATTAGATGTTAAACATGTAGAGATGTAAATGATCTTTAGTAAAAGAACATTCTTTTTCTTCCTATAAAGTTTATAAGGATCTCAACGCGAACAAAGCATGATAATCATTGCCAATTACTGTAGCAGCTTCAGACGCGAACGAGGTATATTTATTATTTATTGTGTGACAACAACACTGTAAAGACTCATCATGTCAATCACGATCGATCAGATTTTTTTTCAGAAAACTTGGCTTTTTAGACAAGATCTTTAGTAAAAAGCAATTCTTTTCATTTCCAAAAAAAATTTGGAAGGATGTCAAGGCGAATAAAGCAAGAGAAATATCGCCAATTACTCTAAAGATTCAAACGAGAACGAGTAGTTGTGGACAACGACACTAAAGACTCATAATTCCCCTCGAAAACAAATAAATACTATCA